ATTATCATATTTAGGATATAGGATCACACCTTGAACAGTTGATGGAATAATTAATAGTATTGGTTTTAGAAACTCATCATAATTACTGATCAAAATCATAATTATTTTAAAAATTTCAATATTAAAATAATTGTAATCTTTTGAATTATTATACAAGCGAATTGCATTTAAAAAATTTATAAAAGCTGTAGAAATTATTATGCCCTTTTCAGATTCATTATAATCCCAATATCCACCCATTACTGTAATACCCCAAAAAACCATAGTTGTTAATCCTTGTGTAATTGCCTTTGTTGTTTTATCACATCCAATAATCATTCCAAGTGTACTGAGAATTATACTTAAAAAAGTTAATAAAATTATAAAATAAGACTCAGTAAATTTTCTCTTTTGATATAAAGACCATGAATGACTGAAAATGAAAATATCCAATACTAATAAGGACACTTCAATAAGATATAAAATATGATATGATTCATCAATATTAGTAGCAGAAGATGAATCAACATTTTCGTTGAATAAAGGTGGTGAAAGAGGTGAAGGGGAAATTAGAGTATGAGAAGAGGAAATAGTGGATGAAATTAGGGTACGAGAAGAAGAAATAGTGGAAGAAGTAGGAACAATTGAGGAAGTGGAAATAGTTGAAGGAGAGTGTGGAGGTGGTGGAGCTCTAACAATAGGAATCAAAAATAAACATAACAAAAGAATGATTAATGTGAATTTTCTAGTAAAGAATGTCAGTTTTTTAATATTAAAATTTTCCATTTTGAAAAATAAATGGAGAAAAAAATTGTAATACTTTTCGTCGACAGTTCATTTCTAGAACAATTCATGTTAATTTGCGTGTTTGGAAAAGCGTGAATTAATTGATGATAACAATTGTTTATTATGTTTATGTGAATAGGTTTACTAACATATTAATTTAATTAGTGGATAAATTTGGTTTTAAATGTTTATTTATTTTATTTAGTCGAAACTAATTAAAGATTTAGAGCTATGTTTTAACACAAAATTT